AGAAGGGACAGATGACTGAGTTAAGGTTTCAAAAAACGAAGCACAAGAGAAGGTTCCTGAAGTAGAAGGGATCCAAATTCTAGTGTCTCCCCTATTAGGATCAAGGAAGATATTCTCAAGGATGGCTAATAAAGGTAAGAGGTTGTCCAAGTCTGTATCCCTAATTGCCCTTCGCAGGCCGAGGTTCCACCCAAAACCAGAAGTGAAGTCTGAAGGAACTAAAAAAGAAGAGATAGGTTCACTTTTCAAATCTGACAGAGCATACAAGGAAGGAAACTGGTTCTTCAGAGGTGAAACCCCAACCCAAAGATGTTCCCAAAATATTATTCGATTGCCAGAGTTAACATCGTACCTGATCCAAGGGGAGAAAACTGGAAGCAGATCATGGATGGATTTCCACGGAGAAGTAGTTGTAGCCCTCGCCACAATTCCAGAATCCCAGTCGTTGTCTTCCAGCCCATGTATGCTAGCCACAATCTTTGTCCACAATTTTTCCTTTTCCACTGTGAACCTCCACAATCATTTTCCCAACAACGCTATATTCCTTTTCTTGATGTTTCCAATCCCAAGGCCTCCTAGTTTTTTACATCTAATTACCACCTCCCATCTCACCCTATGATCTCTCTTCTCCTCTCCCGGCTCCCACAGAAAATTCCTCATTAATTTTTCCAATAAGCTGGAGACCTTGGTGGGGATCTTAAACACTAACAAATAATACACAGGTAAGTTAGCTAGGGTGGACCTAATCAAAGTGACTGGTCCTTGGTGGAGGTAATGAAAAGTTTTGGTTTTGGAGATAGATGGTGTAGATGGATCTGGGGTTGTATCAGGAGTTGCCATTACTCGATATTGGTTAATGGAACTGCAGTGGATTTCTTTTCGGCCATGAGAGGAATAAGACAAGGTGATCCGCTCTCCCCCTTTCTCTTTACTTTGATTGCAGATGTCTTGGGGAGACTGATACATAGAGCCGATTCTAGAGACTTAAAGGTTGGAGAGTCGAAAGGGGGGAAGTACCACTTACACACTTGCAGTTTGCAGATGACACAATCCTATTTTGTAAGGGTGGGGATATAAGATGGATCAGAAACCTAAAACTGACAATACAACTCTTTGAGCAGATGTCTAATCTTAAAGTGAACTTTGATAAGAGTTGTGTGGTGGGAGTGAATTTGGAGGAAAGGGAAGTAAGTGATTGTG